ACTGTAGGAAGGGCATAGTACCATATTTGCCATTCTCAATTGCTAGTATCAGACACAGTATTATTCTCAAGCCTGTAATCCTTCCTCCCCACAGCTAAGGCCACTTGATCCTCTTTTAGAAGTTAAATGTAGCCTCAATCCTGACCTGAGACATCAAGTTCTTAAGCAGCTCCAATTCTCCTTTCTATGACCCAATGCAGAGTCATCCTAACTGCTAACCTAGTCATAATGTGGTCTCCAAATTTTAACAACTAAGCAACTGCCTTTTAAAATTTAACTTTTTTATTTTTTACCTTTTTTAATAAGTCCCAGTCCCAACTGTTAAACCCAAGTCTGGTAACTAGATTTCTTGCCCTCCAGTCCCTTCCTAAAATAGGTACTCTGACTCACATTTGCCATACTCTTTCTAAACCTAGCATCCCTAACCCTTGGAATCTAATTTTCGGGATAAAGCCTTTTCTTAGCCATTGAAAACTTCTCTCATGTTGAATATGGGCTTTTCATTATGGCCCACTCTGTATTCTCCATCAATTTTCTATCCAACTATCTGTTGGGACATCTTGCTCCACGAAGCCTTTACTGAGTACTTACCAAGTCAAAAATATACACATAAGTTTGCATGAAAATTGTTATAGAAATCTCAGTACGAAATGTAAACACTCAGAAGTAAGGAAGATCTAAAGTTCACAGAAAGATGATAGAATGTAGCTTTCTCTTGACTTCAGTATAACAAATAAGTAAATTTGTAGTATAGAAATGTCATGAAATATTAATTTAAATAACATCCAGGGAGCCCCAAAATATAAGACAGTTATAAGACAGTCATCCAAGTCAGAGGGAAAGACAATGAAATTTATAGATGACATAACTGTTTACCTAGAAAACCCAGAAAATTGGATGACAAACCAAGACTTACATTGTAGCCAGACACAAGATCAACTTGCAAAGATAAATAGCGTTCCTCTTAGCCAGCCATAACTGAGAAGATTCCATTCTTAATAGCAATAAAAACTGTAAAATATCTAGGAATACACTCAATAATATATATGCATGGCCTGTATGAAGAAAATATTAAATCTTTACTGCTGATCTTAAAAAAATAACCAAGTAAAGGAAGAGATATAGCATTGTAAAAATGCCAGTTCACGCCTAATTTAATCAGTAAGTTAAATTCTGTGTCAAGCAAAGTCAATCAGTAACAGATATTTATAGAACATTTAATTATGAACCAGTTACTACTTTAAACATTTGAGATGTGCTGGCAAATGCCACAGACAGTCTCTACTCTCAAGTTTACATTGTAATGCAAGGTAGAAGGGGGAGATAAGCGTATAAACAAACAAGGTGCAGAGCTTCTTTTCTCATTCTGGGCCTAGACTAAAGGAGCAGTCACTACCATGAGCCCTGCTGGTCACCATGGTATAGGGGAGAGATCTGAAGGCCCTTACATGGTTAATTAAATGCTCTGGGCCAGAAGTGCACTTACCACTTCCACTCACAACTCATTGGCCAGGACCAGTTTCATGACCCCATGTAACCACGAGGAGTCAGGAAGTGTCGTCCCACTGTACACCCAGAAAGGAAGCAAACCAGATCTGTTTGACAAGTAGTATGAATACCTGCTTCCGTCTATTGATGGTCTGGTATTTTTATCATTCTGCTTTTTAGGTTTAGATCTTAAATCTGTCTAAAGAGTTTTTTCAATTAGAGTTGACATTCAATACTATTTTATACTAGTTTCAGGTGTACAGCAGAGTGGTTAGACATTTATATAATTTATGGAGTGATCTTCTGGATTAGTCTAGTACCCACCTGGCACTATACATAGTGATTACAATATGATCGACTATATTCTCTATGCTGTACTTCGCATCCCTATGACTGTTTTGTAACTACCAATGTATGCTTCTTAATCTCTACCTTTTTCACCCAACCCCCCAACCCCCCTCCCATCTGGCAATCCCCAGTTTGTTCTCTGTATCTATGAGTCTGTTTCCATTTTGTTTGTTCATTTATTTTGTTCTTTAGGTTCCATATATAAGTGAAATCATATGAAATTTCTTTATGAACAGTATATCTGGTTTCCAAATGTATAGCACATTTCCCCAATATTATTGATTTAAAAGCCCCCAATTTGTTAAGAAATGTTTTTGGTTTCAAGCAATAGATACCAAAAAACACCTAGTGGGTTAAACAAATTAGAGGTCTTATTTCATTCACACATTAAAAATCTAGAGGGAGGCAGTCCAGAGATGGTGCCTCTGATGTCCTCAGACAGTCGGCCTTCTCCTGGCCACTTCTACCTACGAAGAAGGGTGGGATATATAGGGAGTTTTTTAATGAGTTTATATCACCATTACCAGCAAATACATTTGTCTGTGTGATCAGATTTAACTGATAGCTTAAAGGCAACAGCCACCAGACTTACTAATGGATTAGATGTAAGAGAGAGCCCAAGATAACTCACAGGTTTTTGACTAAACCACTAGGAGGATAGTGATGCCATTCACTGAAAAGAGGGAAAAGAGGGCTTTAAGGAGAAAAACCATACTTAAAATGTGAGTTCTTAAATGAAACATAACAAGCTAATTTAAAATTGATATGGAAGAAAAAATTGGCAAAAAAAAAAAGCCCAAAATAATCATGAGTAATAAACAATTTTTAAAATGGAGATTAGGAAGTACAGACATAAGAGTGTATACACATACACACAGAGACACACACACAATGAAAAGCTTTCCGTTAACTCCCAATGGACAGGTAGCATGAGCATGAAAATAAACAGATTTTTAAATAAACTACCAAGATTATATGTATGTTACTGTTGCACAGCCTAGTATATTCTGGTCAATACAAGGAGACAGGGTAAATAAAGAATGTCCCCAAACCATGTAATACTGTGCAGCATACACACACACACACACACACACACACACACACACACACACACACATAATGAAAACGGTGTCCATTTATAGGGAAAGTTTCTTAAGAGGTATTATTGGCGGGGGGGACAAATTCTAAAATAGTACAGTTAGTATAATATCACTTATATTAGCCCCACTCCCTCATCCTGCATGTGTCTAGTGGCTACTACATTGGACAGTATTGTGCCAGATTCTCCAAGCTGAAGAGAGAGAAGGTCACATCAGAGAAAGTGGCTCAAGGTATGGCTGAGGCTGACGCAGAACAAGGCAATTTCCCTGGAGCTAGGGAAGCTCAAGCCCTGCTAAGCATGAGAAAGATATTCAAGCACACACCAAAGTTGGAGTCAAAAGAAAAGTTTATCAGAGAAGGGGTAACATTCTATCAACAGAGTGTGGTCTCCTCTCTGAGTCAGAGAGTGAGAGATTCAGAGAGACAGAAACAATAGAGAGAGACAGGGACTGTGAGAGAGACAGAGTAGAGGGACTGAGAGAAAGATATTGTGAGAGGGACACCAGAGTGTTTGGAGAATTCAGTTTATAGATCACTCTTTAGTTCCTGTGAATTACAGCTTAAAGACCTTATTTGCACATTTTCCTTTGATATGGGCCTACAATGGGGAAAGATGAGTATGTAGCCCATAAAGTTAAGAATGTGTAGCATAAAAGGCCTGCTGACAATTCCCAGACTTTGATCCATAGGTTCCCTGTGGTTTTAGCCATAGGGAATGAATGATTTTATTTTGTGTAGGGCCCTGCTTTTAAAGACTCCGTTTTTCCTGTTTCCCTTCACTGTATGGTAAATGGGTTGTTAGCAGATCCCAGCAGAAATCTTCCTTTGTTCTGCAGGTTTCCTCATGGTCTGGCTGCAGGGCTGATCAGCATATTGCAGTCTCTGAATACAGCTTGATTTAACATTTTAGTTCTCTTGCCTCCTCCCTACATTAAGGCCCTAGGGATTGTGGGTAGAGGAGGAATCATGATAACTGATAGAATCCTCAGGTAGGTTTGGGAATTTGAGAACAGAGGGACCTGTGCTCACTTCTCAGGCAGGGCCAGAGGAAGCAGGAAAGGGTGGAAGTGGTAACCAGATGTGCCTCAGACAGCCCCCAAGTCTTTCACATCCCCTCCAAGTCTCCAGAGTGGCACAGGAGGGCAACAGTTTCCCAGTCTCTAAGAAGGGTGAGGATGAAGCTCAGGTAGAATCACCACAGTCAAAATAAGGTTGCTGCAAGTGCTGGACTGATAACTGAAGACAATGGGAATGTGCCTGTCAGCCTGGAGGGGTCTTGGTGGCTGAGAACCCAACACTTCACTCCATGTCCCCTAGAACGTAGATGCCACTCGGGGGAGATGGAGGGGAAAGGGGAAATTCTGAATTCATGGACTTGACCAGTAATTATGAAAAAACCCAGAAGTAAGCTTATCTACCATCTACTGACTATTTCTGATATCAGGCACAATGGAAGTTGGAAATAGAAATTCAAGTTCAGTTATAGATTTTTAAGTTCAGTTTTGTGAAATGCAAACATAGATCTGGCTACCCTGGCCTCTATGCAAAGGGGAGCAATAACTACCGAGAGGATGAAAGGGTTTCTCAAAGCACAGGCAGGGCTTGAAAGCCATCTGGCAGGGGGGCCTCCATCAAGGACTCATGCCCAGGCCAGCAGAGAAAATGTTGACTTAGGAGGAGCCCCATCGCCATATTTAATT